TACGGAATATCAATTACACTCATAAATCTAGTTTTTGATGGGCTTTAACCTGGTATAAATACTTTCTGATATTATCTGTCCTTTAGGTCGTGTAGGGGGGGAGAAAAAGGTTATGTAACACCCTGTAGAACTGATGGTCAGAAAAGGTTGCATTAAAACGTCTTACTGGAAGACACTAGATGTGCCTTATGGGCTAACCACTTAAATGTATCTTACTTGTAGGAAAAAATCTAATAAAAAAAATCTAGTAATAACAATGGAAATCTAGTAATTGGGTGATTACTAGATTTTTTTCTAGCTGCAACTATCGATTTATCGCTCGATAATTGATCGATTTAACTATTACTAGATGCACCTGCAGATGCATCTAGTTAAAAGTCCCTTTTCCAACTAGTAATCTAGATGACAACTAGCCGTGTATCGCCCGATTATAGACGAAATGTATCTAGATTTTTCCCATAGGTGATATTTGCTTGGGTATGCATGATAAAAATCAGCACATATGAATGAATCCAAATGGCTTCATCGAGCTTGCCTAAAGCAGACTCATATTTTGAGATATGACGTTTCTTCAAAAGAGGCGAAAAGACTGTTTCTATTTTTTGCAAAACTTTCCCTTTAAAGTGTCTTGCTTCTGGAAGCGTCTTTAAAGTGGCATCATTATTTTTTGTTGTAGACACATTTAAGTCACGTTTAAGACGCATTTCAAAGCAGATACATTATTTTTTAGAATGAGTCGATCGGGTAACACATGAACAATAACAGACATCGTAAAAGTATGAAATCGATAAAAGGAAATGAAATATTTGGGTTTCTAACAACCATGTCGTCGTCAACAGTATTTCGGTCACAACAAACTTCATCGAATATTTCAATTGTCACACTTACTCACCCAATGACATCCTCCAGAATACCTTCTTTCACAGCGTTATCGATTAGGAAATGGCAGGGAGTGACAAACCACCCCGTCCTCGTTTGGATACAGTTACTCAAAAAATTTTGACTTACTCAAATTTTTTAGGAAATTTATGTTGAGAAACTGCCTTTTATGCACCTGAGTAAGTGATTTTGTTTAGCTTCTGAGTAACTCATTTTTTTCTGAAAAAAATTTTAGTCAAAAAATGCGTTACTCAATAAAAAAACTTTAGTAGTAAGATGAATACCATATTTAACGAAAAAATATCTAATAATTTAAGAAAAATACATAAATATCTTTTTGAGATTGATTAATTTGTTGATATGAGCATTTTTGAATGTTTGTCGTGAAATACTGTGTTTCAAAATGAATTCTGCTATTATTGTAGTTTTTGCCTAGCGTTCTCGATGATTGTGCTTGCATTCTGATAATCTGACGTTAGTGGTAAATGAAAACGTTTTTCCAATGGAATAGACCATGAAGAAAAGCGATTTTCAACGTTTTTGTATTATTGTTTACATATTTAGTTCATTAAAGTTACTCACAGTTATGTGAGTCATGAGTCGAACAGTTTTATTTACAATTATATATTAATCCTACAATGACCTAATAGTTTTTCCATTGTATATAAGAAAATAATATTTTCTTGCTAAAATCTAGGCAATATTAAGTGCTAACAAGTTTTTTCTCCGTTTTTAGATAATGTCGACCGGAACGAAATTGTTATTCATGGCTTGTAAAACATAGTGTGAGTTAGGTGCAACCAAAGACATAAAAAATTCATAAATGTCAGTTGATTTTGTACAGAAAAATGAATTACTACTTGCAAATAAATTAAGATTTTCAGTAAAATGAATAGTAAGTAGTTTATCATAGTTGACGTGTTCAAAGAAAAAATATTATTTACTAAAACGAAACGAAAGGCGTTTACTTAGGAGGTGTGATTCATTTGCATATACACATAGTAGTGGTACTAACACTATCAGTGGTGTAAATTGTATGGTATCGTCTCTTTAAAATAAATGTCTATTGATAAATGATTACATCATGAAAATATTATACTGATTATACATTTTAATGCATTTTAAGTGTGTTACAGTTATAACGTCATTATTATTTCGTCACTTGTTGATATAAAGCGGCTAGTTCAGACAATAGACACAGACGTTAACATAATTATTCTTTCTACGGTCTCTCTTTTCATCCATATATTCACATGTATATTTATAAACGTATACAACTTAATTATGTATTCGTTAATATCATCATCTTCTTTTACGATTTTCTGTCTACTATTTCTCTTGTTAAAAAGTTATTTTATAAACAATTATTCTATTCTCATTGTTTATATGTTTTTTTTCTGTATTTTTTTTTTTTTAAATACTAGTAAGAGATTTAATAAATTTATAATCGTATCTAATTATTATTTAAAACAAATAAATTAATAATGATTTAAGATCATCTTTAACATCGAAATGTATCAAAACTTAAATCTATAATAAACTTTTGATCAAAATAGTAAATTAGTTAGCGACAAATTGATTAACATAGTTTCAAGTATATTATAGAAAACAATTGTTAGTTTCTTTGATAAAGTTAAATTAAACACATCAACAGATGAATCGTTTTTCAATTTGTACTCTTATATATATTTTTTTTTATTGTAGTAAAATATGATTTATTTATTTATAATATCTGTCTTAATCCTATTTGACATTTGTTTTGAGTTTCAACACATTGTTCATAAACTATACGAGACAAAAATAATGGTTTAATAAATATGTTGATGTTCTCTTCTTCTTCTGTTGAATTATATATATATATATATATATATATCATTGTCTTGTTGATTGATGAAAAGTGAAAAAACGACATTAGGAAAACATCTTATAATAGAAAATATAAGAGATATTCTATTAAATTCGTATCATATGTTTCATCATAAAAAAAAAATAGTTTTGAATGACATCTCATATTGATAAAAATAGAGAAAGTCCTTCATATTATTATTATTTTGAAAATGCCACTTCTAATACTCGATATATATTATTCGAGTGGCATCGTGTTAATGAATAACCAGTTCCTTACAATTTTAAATAAATATAATTTATTTTGAGAGACTTTCCTCTTTGTAGTAAATATCCTATATACATATACATACACACACACACATAAGTATTGAACGCATCCAAAAAAAGAAATAGAAGTAAAGTGTTCTATTTGCTGATGATCCATACGATAAAACTAATATTGTTCACTGATTTACTCATGAAATTGGAAGTAATATTTTAATTAACTAAACAATAGAGCATAAAATTATACTTATGTTATTATACATCTCCTAGCAACGAATAATAGTCATAGATTCTCTTTGACAAATATAAACTAAAGACAGAACAAAAACAATTCGATCATGACTCTTATCAATATGAACTATTTTACACATATTTTCTATTTTTAACAATAACATTGATGCATCAAATTTTTATTATTTACATAATAGTATTCTTACTTTTCTTTTGAATGTACCTTGACAATAGGTCATGAAGAAGACGTACACCGAATTTTCACTATGATAAGTCAAGAAAAAGTATTGAACAATTTATTATTTCTTAATTTTACTATTAGAAATCTATAGTTGAAAAAACCTTTGTTTTATCAGAATTAGAATCGTAAATTTTTTGACAGGTTTGAAGTGTTGTAGATAGAATAATACAAATAGTGATGAAAAAGAATTCTTTTTTTGTTTTTTTTCTTCTTCTTCTTCTTGCATGACAATTTTTGAATGGATATACTTTTTTTTAAAAAAAAAAAAAAGAAAGAATGAAGCTAGTGTGTAATAAAACCGGCAAAAACATAAGAAACAAATGTTAGCATTGAAAATAAAAAAAATAATGTTCTCTTATTTCTGTACATATAATTGATTTGTTAAAAAACAAGAATGAAAAAAGAAAAAAGAAAAAGAAAAAAAGGCACTGTAATCTTAGGCATACAGATCTTGTTTGAGTATTGTGTAATAGATACACGATTAATGTCTATGTTTATATAGCAACACATCACAGATAAAATGCTTGTAATCTTTGATATATGAATAATTATCTTTTCGAATAGAATAATAACAGTGAAATAGTTAATAAATAATAATAATAATAATAATAACTACAACTAGTTATTTTTATTGTTGATGATCCATTTGATTCTTTTAAATAAAATTCATTATTACATTGTTCACCTGTACAACGTTTAATTGTAACAATATCTAATGAACGATAATGTCGAATATTTGGTATTTTTGTTTCTAATAATGTTTCAGTTTCAACTTCAATATCACTATAAGTTGAACAATCACGTATTGCACGTGTAGCTATTAGTAAACGTCTTTTATGATGTGTTGTATAATTTCGTATAATAGCAAAATAACAAAATGTTTTACATTCTTGTAATGGGATAATTTGTGAAAATTCACCACAACCTGGACCATCTATTTGATTATCACATTGTAAACATTGAAAACTTTGTTTATAACAATTTCCCAATTGTAGAAATATCATATTAAAAAATAAATAAAATAAATTTAATTCCATTCCATTCAAAAACAAATAATCAGTTCAACATATAAAAGAGTTAGACTTAAATAAATTTCAAAAACAAATAAAATTAGTAAAAAATATTCTAGTTCAATAGATTTATTATTGTTTATATTGAATAATTAAAAAGAATAAATAAATTTTACATAAGAACTTACTTCTATTGATGATTTTGTTATTCCTTCTTGTTCATAATAATGAAGTAGATATTTTGAATTCAGGATATAGATGAAGAAAAAAAGAAGAAAAATTCTAAAAAAGAAAACGAAAATAGCAAATAATATGTAATTTTATTCTTGTCATCAGTTGATTAATGTTGGAAATTAAACACGCACGCGCGTCCCGTTTATCCTCTCCTTTGTATTCAAATGTGATCGATCAAAGTCAAATAGATCAAAAAATAAAAAAAAAAAAAGAAGAAGTTGAACTAGTATGTTGTTATCACATTATCTCTAGTTATATATCTGAGAAACAGTATTTCATCTATGTTTTTTCTCTCATTCTTCTTCTGAGAAAAAAGAAATATGTGTAAGAGAGCAATATAATAACAAGAAAATATTCTCCAAATCGAACAATCTTCACATCACATCACGTATTTGTACAAATTATTGTTATAATAAGTTTTTTTATTAAAAAAAAAAAGGGGAAAACTAAGCAAGAGAGAAAATGAAATAAGTCGAACTCCAAATGAATGACGAAGCGGAAAAACAAAAATAATAATAACATTTGTTCGTTTGTTTAAATTACAACTCTATTCTATTCAAACAGAAATGATGATGAACAAGGAATAAAATGAAAAAAATGAGAAGAGGAAGAAACCGATGATTATCATCACGTTGAATATGTGATTCAAAGATGCGACTCAGACACACACACACACATATATATAAAAAAAAAAAAAAATGAATGTTATCTATTTCAAACACTTAGTATTCAAGACATTCAATTAAGTGAGCTTGACCATTAGAAAAAAAAAAATAGTGAATGGCATACGTCAACCACTACACATCATACATCCCATTGTAGATTTAAAACAGTCTAGAGTATTGATTCTCTATCCTTGATTAAATTTATTGAAAATAAAAGTTTGCCTACTTCTACAAGACAAAGAGAAAACTTTTATTGTTTAAATTATCAGCTGAGGATTCTAAAAGAGGATTTCTAACAATAGTATATAAAAAAAAATAATCTTTTATTCAAAAATTAATCACATGTACTAGATTAATGGAAAGCAGTATCTTTAATCTTTTCTAAGTGTGTGTGATAATGTAAATATTTCATTTCAGTTAAAATTCACATTCTTAACATATTCTCTCGCGTGACCTCATAATGTAAATAAACATTGATATAAAGTGATTTATTTAAATTATAAAGGTGTTATTTTATTATTATACTATTCGTTCTCTTCTCAATTCGTCTCTAATTGGTTTGCAAGATCAAACAAGAGTAAAAGCCGATACTCAAAAGTGAATGAATACAAATATATGGTACGAATTGAGACTAAATCTCTTATTTAAAATCGAGTACACGATTTACTTTTCGTTGACTGTTTTCTATTTTAATTGGGGATTTTTTTTTTCACTAATTTTGACGCATATAACAACTGATTGACAAAATAACCAAATAAATACTCATTATAATTAATAAATTTTCCAAACGTACGGAACATTCATCAGTAAGGGGTAAGGAGAGATATGCGGGAATGACTAACTAACTAAATGGAAACGAACACTGCTCTTTAAATCGAGTTACTAAATAATGGAAAATACTGAGAAAGTTAGAGCAGTAATCACCATATTTACCGAAATTATTTGTCTGGGAACCACAATTGTCAGCAGCAGGATGATCTTTATTAAAATGTATATAAAGATAGACATACGCAACTGTATTCTCATAATATTTTAAAAGTGTCTATTAAATTTGTTGAATCTACATATGGCATGCTGTTACTGCGATTATCGGTACGGTTTTAAACGGAAAAATCAAAATAATTCAGAATATTATATGTGCATGTGAAATGTAATAGCGACAGCAACGACTTATCCAGATTTGTCAGTTGCCATACGAGATGTGCATACACATTTACCAAATAAAACTGATAGAAAAATATTCAAAAGTTCAAAAAATTTAGAACATAACGCTGTTGAAGAATCTGGACTAATAGATCGTATAGTTGAAGAAGCATATCATGCTGCTGTTAATTAACAAATATTTTATAAAAAATCAATCTAATTAATCAAAAGTAAATTCTATCTACAGCGAAAATTATACTTTTCTTTTCTTTTCTGTGAAAAATAAAACTAATTGAATTAGAAAATAGTCAACGGAAAGTAAATCGTGTAAACCATTTAAAATGTATATATATCCTTTCTTTCTTTTTTTCTTCTTCTATGTTTTGGTATGAGCTGTTTTAAACATCTTAGTTTTTTTCTTCAAGTTATACATGAAAGATTTGTCTGTACAACAATTAAAACAACTTGATCTTGTTAGTAAACCTAAATTCAATAGAATAATAAGTTTTAATAGTACTAAAATAAGTGCGTGAAGTAGTTGAAAATTGAAACTAATGTCTAGAAACAAAAGGAAAATGACACCAACATGATAGATATATTCGTTAAAACAAAGCAAACATTTACGTTTTTCTCAGATACATTAGAGATTTTACAGATGGTGCTCTTGTATAAAAAAAGGATTAAAAGTAATTTTGTTTCTCTAACTTTACAAGACAAAAAAATATGTTGTAGCTATTAGTGTAAAGAAAAAAATTTGCCTTTTGATTTATTGATGTTTGTGTCATAATAATAAATCGTTACACATATGACTCTATCTATACCTTTTGGCTATTCGCCTTTCTTTTATATAAAAATGTATATTACATTTTAACATAAACATTTTGAAAAAAAAAAATTCTGTTTTATACGTACGTTTCTCGTACATATGGAACATGATCGTGGGTAATTTATATTTAACCTCCATCCGTTTTTCTCTTCTTTGTTCGTCTCACTATACCACTACTACTACCTGACACCGAATAAAAGAAAAAGATGATGTTAAGAGAAGAAGAAGAAGAAGAAAAAAAAAAGGTGATTTGGATCAAGAGAAGAGGTAGAGAGATTTTTCTTCCAGTTAACGTTTGTAAATTATCTATGATTTATGTGTCTTTTTACCTGCAGATAGATGATGTTAATGTTGTTAATGTTACAAATTATTGAAAAATTTTTGAACAAGTTCAGCTGCTGCAAAGCACATTGCCGTTAAAAAAATTACATAAAAAAATAAGTTTTCATTTGACATATGCTGACCGACTTTCTCTTTCTCTTTCTCTTTCTTTTCTCGTTTCGATTAATGTCATTTCTATCCATAGCATATATCAGTAGAATATGTATAAACGATATTTATGTGTACTTAGGATTTATATACGTTTAACATGTGTTTAATTCAAAATAGTAGTATGACTACTTAAGATACTGCTTGTAAAAAGAAATAGAATGGGAACTCAGCCAGAAGTTAGTTGTTGTTTTTGTTTCAGTCAAAATCAACTGAAATAATATTATGATCAATAAACGATATAGTAAAACAGAGAGAAGAATGTAATAGAAAGTCAAGTTAGTATTTTTGACAGCTGGACAATAGACAACTTTTACAAAAAACTATTGCCGTAACTGATGGACCGATCTTGGTGATTCCTGGCTCTTAAGAATTTCAGACTATGCTCTTTTAGATGGTAATCTCAAAAGACTTTTAGAACTTCAAGAAGTAGGACGTTTGGAAAAACATGGTTTTCTAGGTATCGGTTTTAAGAAAACATTCTATACCAGTGATAGTTTTTAGTGGAATTTTTTTAAAATAAGTAAGTGTATCTTGTAGAGAAATGTACGGGCTACATTAAAAACAATTCTTTTTTTGCTGATTTTCAAATTTTAGATCTTTAATAACATTTTATATTAATTTAAAATACATGGTTGGAAAGAGAATAAAAAACTGAGCAAACCTAGATATTCTAATGGGATTTTGAAAATTGACTCATTAAAAGGTTTTCTAGAAATCCTTTAAAACTTTTCTTATTTTAATTGGATTTTTATTTGTGTTTAGCATGTTTAAAAGGTTTAAGATGCTTTGGTGTCCTCATAGGACTTAATAACATAGTTCTTATTGTTATTAAAAGGTGTTTTCACAGAGTTTGTATGGGATTTTTAAAAGTTCTTCGAGGGTTTTCACCTATAAAAAACCGTTTTTTCTATTTCCTTCATCGATTTCTTGCGTACTTCAATCCCTTGTTTGTCTATCAGAAATGAATCACAGACTGTTGGTCTGTAGACCATTTAGATACTGGTAACTCGTATATTTTCTTCTTAAGCCCTTCTTTATCTATCAGTTTAATATATCACACCATTTTTTTCCTATAGATATCACATAGTCCTATTAAAACCAAGTGACAGTAACATGTATAGAAATGTATGAACTAGGAAAATGGTTTAATTATCCAGTAATTTGTGGCGTATATTGTTTTCTCATAGCCTTTCATAATTTACTTATAAATAAGTGGTACTGTTTCTCTTCTTGACAAAAATTTTCTTGCTTCCTTTCTAGTTAGTTGACGAACTGTAACATTTGTTCTTTCTTAAACTAGAAATCAGTTTACATTTTATACACATTTAAATTTTTTAAAGCACGCCATCTACCAATTTCCGTCTAATTCTCGGAAGCATATACTTTTCATTATTGTGTCAATAGAGTCAAGTTTAATTAGAATTACTTTGCTCTCTTTACAGATATGATCATTTATAAACGTATTAATCATACAGTTCCTTAGCAACAAAAAGTAACAGAATGAACAGTGATACAACTAAATTTGCATACTATAACCTTTTTATTAGACTAATTAGAAGTCAATATTTTTTTGTTCAATGCGACACAATTGTTTATTGAATGAACTTGTACAAGACTAGGATAGTAGAACTTCT